GTAATAGTTTAGATTTAAATTTCTTGCTAAAATATCCCCATTTGAACATTTGTACTCCCCATCCCATAATTATGTTGTAATAGTTTAGGACTTTAAATTTCGCACTTTAAAGCTTTCTAAATATGCCATGATAGACTTAGGGTTTGTATGCAAAAATCAACCAAACAAATAGCTTGACCTAATTCAAAGATAACAAAGCATGAAAATGGACAACACAATTCACATTTGCACCCCTAGGGTTACTCCACTTGTTGCCTTCAATAATGGGCCATGTTGCATGTTAGGTGTCTTTGGCAAAACAAAAACAATTCAAATGATCATAGTCCCTCGATGACGCTTTCGAAAGTTGCCTAAAAATGATCAAGTCCCTTAAAGGAAAAATTGCCCAAAGACACTTGGCACTATTGCAATCATGGTCTAAACGATGACCCGCGCCCGTCCCGTTAACATCCTAACACAAGATTGTCCACCAAATACAATGGTGGAACAAAATTGTTAAAAGGGTTAAAACATAGGAAAAGCCTTTGAGTAAATTTAGGGGTAGACAAAACTCTTAGTTACTTGATAAACTTGCAAAAACACACTTGCCTACTTTTCAAAACCACACTCCATAACACACTTTCAAAACAAACTTTCAAAAACATTAAAAACTTTTCAAAAGATAAGTACACCTTTGTATACATCCCAACATGGATCATTACAAAGGTTGCCACAACAAATGGCCTCTTTTCAAAACATTTACAAACCCACACACAAAGCACCATTTCAAACAATTGAAAATCAAGGCAAGTTGATCTAAGCAAGTAACTAAGAGCCCATGGATAACCATGGATAGAAAGGGTGCTAATACCTTCCCTTTCTATAATCTACTCCCCGAACCCAAGAAAACATCTCAAAGGTTTTTGCTGTGCTTTTTAACCTTTCCTTAGGATAAAATAAAAAGTCGGTGGCGACTCTTGCTCAACCGAAACATTTGCGAAAACAAACGCAAAACCCAAGTCAGTTCTCCCACCGTATCACATCTTCAAAAAAAAAATTCTTTAATCAAGTTTTGTAATCACCTATGTAAGAGAAAATCTTGGAAAATATGAAAGGGAAAATTTTGGGGTACAACAGTGTGCATGAAAGGGAAGCAGCCAAGATTACCATTTGCATCAGAAGTAGTTCCAAGAGTAAAACATGCCTTTAGAGTAGTGTATTCTGATGTGTGCGGTCCTTTTCCAGTAGCATCAACTGAAGGGAATAAATATTTTTTTGTCATTTGTTAATGAGTTCACCAGAATGACATGGGTATCTCTCATAAAGTTCAAACACAAGGTGTTTGCTAAATTCAAGAAGTTCATACTGAAGGCTGAGAATCAGAGTTGCCCGACTCTGGAGATTCTTAGAATTGATGGTGGTGGTGAGTATAACTCCACAGAATTCAGAAGTTTCTGTGAGGAAAATGGAATTGAGCATGAGGTTACTGCTCCATATACTTCTCAACACAATGGTCTTACTAAAAGAAGAAATCATACTTTGCTAGATATGGTGAGAAACATGCTGAAAGAGAAGAAGCTTCCTCATACTCTGTGGGGAGAAGCTGTTGCAACTGCATGTTATGTGCTCAACAATTGTCCAACAAAGAAATTGAAGGAAATAGTTACTATTCAGAAGTGGATTGAAGATAAGCAAAGTGTTAGTCATCTGAAGGTGTTTGGTTATGTATGTTATAAACATGTCCCATAAGCCAGAAGACAAAAGTTGGATGATAGAAGTAAAGTAATGTTGTTGGTGGGGTACCATAGTACAGGTTCGTATAAACTTTATTGTCTAAAAACTAATAAAGTTGAGTTCAGTGGAGACGTTATTGTAGAGGAATCAGAAGTTTGGAATTGGGAAAAGTCTCGTCCGGACTTTGATTAGAGAACTTCTGAAGAAAAGTTAGAAATACATGTTTCTGATGCTGGTAAAGACTCTGACTCTGAAGAAGATACAGAAGGAGAAGATGATTCTGACTCTGACTCCGATGGTGATCCAGACTCTGAAGACAGTCAAGGTTCTGGAGAAAGTCCAAATGCTGAAGCAAGTGCTTATGAGGGGGAAATTTTTGAAGGTTCAATTCAGAGGCAACAAAGAGTCAGAAGTATCCCAAGAAGATTTGCAGAGTTTGACATGTTGCAAGACACTAAAGTGGACTCTGAAGGAGAAGTTATTCAGTGTGAAATGTTAGTAGACTCTGAACCCGTGAGTACAGAAGAGGCTCTTAAGCAGCAAGTTTGGTTACAAGCCATGAAAGAAGAACTTGATGCTATAGAGAGAAATAAGACTTGGAAGCTGACAGAACTTCTAAAAGGCAAGAAATCCATCAGTGTCAGATGGGTTTTCAAGCAAAAGATAAAGCCAGATGAATCAATTGGTAAACACAAAGCAAGATTAGTAGCAAGGGGCTTTCTACAGAAGCCTGGGCTGAATTACTTTGAAGTGTTTGTACATGTAGCGAGACATGAAACAATCAGACTAGTGATTGCAATAGTTGCTAACAGGAATTGGCCTCTGATGCATTTAGATATAAAATCTGCATTTCTGAATGGTCCATTACAAGAAGAGGTGTAAGTTTCACAACCTCCTGGATTTGAGAAAAATAATCAGGAAGGGATGGTGTTCAAATTACACAAAGCCTTGTATGGATTGAAGCAAGCACCCAGAGCTTGGAATTTGAAGATTGGTTCATTTTTTAAGGAACACGGGTTTCAGAAGTGTGAGATGGAGTATTGTGTTTATGTTTAGCACACTTCAGAAGATAATATGATTCTGGTCTGTTTGTATGTTGATGACATATTACTCACAGGAAGTTCTGAACAAGAGATATCTGAGTTCAAAAAAGTTCTGATGAATGTATTTGAGATGACAGATCTTGGAAAAATGAGTTTCTTTCTAGGGATTAAATTTATGTACTCTAAGAAAAGAATCATTTTGCATCAGATGAAGTATGAACTAGAGCTTCTGAAGAGATTTGAGCTAGAAAATTGCAAAGTTTCTATCACACCTGCTGATACAAATCAGAAGTTAGACTCTGATTCTGATGGAGAGGATGTGGATGCTACAACCTTCAAACAGATGGTTGGTTCTCTAAGGTATTTGTGTAATACCATACCTGATATTTGCTATGCAGTTGGAATGGTTAGCAGATTTATGAGCAAAATAAGTAGTCTCATTACCAAGCTGCTGTCAGGATTCTGAGGTATATGAAGGAAACTCTGAAATATGGAGTGTTATTTTCGTCAGGAAGAAAGATCAAATCAGAACTTCTGAGTTACTCTGATTTGTGCGGAGATAGAGTTGACAGAAGAAGTACTTCTGGATACTTATTCAAATTTCTAGGAGGTCCTATTTCTTGGTGTTCCAAGAAACAACATGTTGTTGCACTGTCAACTTGTGAAGGTGAATATATTGCAGGCGCTCTGACTGCATGTCAAGCTGTGTGGATTCTGAACTTACTGAAAGATCTGAAGATTGAGGTAAATAAACCTCTGAAACTGATGATTGATAACAAGTTTGCAATCAATCTTGCCAAAAATCCAATGTTGCATGGGAGAAGCAAGCATATTGAGACAAAGTATCATTTTCTGAGGAATCAAATTCAGAATGGAATATTAGAAGTTATGCACTGTAGCACCCAGAAGCAGTTGGCAGATGTTCTGACAAAGGCTATCAAAACTGATCAATTTCTTGATTTAAGGGATGAAATTGGTGTTGTCAGTTTTGAGTAAATATAAATTAAGGGATGATGTTAGAATTAATTTAGATTTTATAATTAATTAGAGATTAATTTATATTTAGGAATATCTTTTAGATTGTTTATATCTTTGTTAGAAGATATATATCTTAGATTTTCTTATATCTTTGTTAGAAGATATATTTTAGATTTAATTTTGTGTATAAATAGTCTAGTGAAGTAGGTTATTGTAATTCATTGTAAATCCTTATTTTGAAGATGTCAATAAATATTTCTTTTGCCTTTTATCTTTCTTGTGCACCAACACTTAGTAAACGGGACGAACTTGATTTTTGAACTCGGACCCCTACATTGATCCACCCCACCCCGTCCCACTTTTAGACGGGCTTAAACGGGACAGACCTAACCACCCCACCCCGTCCCACTTTTAGACGGGCTTAAACGGGACAGACCTAATTTATATATATATATATATATATATATATATATATATATATATATATATATATATATATATATATATATATATATATATATATATATATATATATATATAAAAAAAACTCTAATAAACAAAGCTGAACATTAAATTATTGACTTAAAATACTTTAAATACTTAGAAGAATATTTTAAAATATTGGTCATAAAATGATGAGAAAGACGGAAATAAGAAAAAGTATGAGAAAGGGGCCGCAAAGAAATAGCAACAGATGATCCGAATCCTTAAAATACTTAATCAATTTAAACGTTATTAAGAAAAGATGAGATCGAGTTATAGTACAACATCTCTACAAAAAATAAGTTAGGAAAGAAAACAAAACTATATTTATTAAAGGTAATAATCATGAAAAATTGAGAAAAATATAAGAATTTCATCTTTGAAATTTACAAAACTAAGATATTATTATTGAGTTGACAGTGGAAGGAAAAAAAACAGGTTGAACAAAGTGTATCATTAATTTATTAGTTGAAAGATGAAAGTTTGTATCTACACATTCTACAATACAGAACTCAAGCCAGACGCATGTATATATTTTTATTACATAGAAAATGCAACTGGACATTTTTTGAAACACAGAAAAGTAGAAAACCCTATGCAATACTGCACAAAACCTGCAACATAATAAACTCTACATAATTAGTCTCACACTCTTCACATTTATGAGTAAAGATATTTACATTATGACCCCTTCATGCATGTATTACAGTCATCACAAACACATAAACACATAAATTACTCCATAAATGCATCCAGAATATGACACTCCATTTGAAAACATATCTATTCTGTGGCTGCAACAACTGCTGGCCCTTCCACCTAATACATAGCACCAATATAAACAAAATATAGCATAAGATTTGAATGTAACAAAGTTCATTTATTTAAACTCGGGTAATCGTTAATTACCTTGAATGTTGCACCCCAAATTTCTTCCTCGTTAGCTGGTATTGCGGTAATCTTATTCTTTGGATTCTCGTAGCATCTTAATCCTCCAACTGCGGTCGAGTAGAAACATCCTGTACAATTTACGATACAAAGTGAGGGAATGCATGCATTCTGAATTAAGGAAGGAAAGAAAAAAACAAAACCAAGACACTAAATTTAAACCAACCTTGAGGAAAAGAAGCAAGTGATTTTCCACAAGCACCTTTAAGCAAATCGGCATCATCAGCAAATGCTACATACCCATCAGCAGTTATTCCCCAATACAGAGGAACCTTTCCAGATTGGTCCTATAAAAAACAATACTCTTAAGTAAAAATTAACAAAATGTCATCAATTAATAACAGATTACTATATAGATGGTAACTTACAGAAGCAACAAAGAGGGTGGAAGTGGATTTGTCATAAACTATGAAGGCAAAACTACCACTAAGATGACCAACAACATGATTCGCAGGATACGGTGCTCGATCGCGTAAAGCTTTGTAAGCTTCGATCATAAGAACGACTTCATTCGCAGATTTCGCAAGTCCATATTGCTGTCTCAAGCTCCCTAAATTGTCTAGAGCTCCTTCAAACAAGCAGAATATATCATCCTTCACTGCAAATGATCTGCCATACATGATAATAAAACCAGTAACAAACTTAGAACCATTGCAACAATTTAGCTAACATGTCACATGTTGTCTTTGTCTCCAAAAATATATTGTATTCATATAATATTGTTTATATTTTATTCCGAATGAAATTATATTATATTTTTAAACACTTTCCCTTCCTTTATTTATTATCTTATGCATGCTCTCCCTTTCTTTCAATGCAGTGTGACACAATCTTTTCCTATTGTTTATGACTTTATGTGGTTTTCTATTTCATTTTCATGGTCCCAACAACCTACTCCATGTTATCCTTATCCTTATTTCATTCTCATTGGGCTATAAAAGCAAAAGAATCCAAAGAAAAGAGAAATTCATGAGTAAATAAAAGTGAGAAAGTCAACATTTTGAAATGGACATAGCATATAGATCCAAAGTGGTGTGAATAATTGCAAATGAACACTCCATTTAAAGTGACCTCCCATCTAATGTTGGTCAAAACAAAACAAATTAAAAAGGGTGTTTTATCTATTTAATTTTTATTTAAATAATAAAATTTAATAATATTATATTTAATTTTTCATCTCTTCGGCTCTTCCCAATAGTACAGCTTAAGATTGCAAATATATATAAAAATATTCTAAGAAATTATATAATAATATTCTAAGAAATTATTATCAAAGAAAAAGAACATGTAACACTGATATTTAAGAAAAAACACATGTATGCGAGTCAATGTCGAACTTCTACACTAATATTTATTATTTTATTTTATTTTATTTTTTAAAATTTTTTATTAATATCATCGTGTCAGTATCATATCTTTTTCGAATGTTGTTGATTCGTAAGTATTTTGTGGTGTGTAGGTTTCTTTCATTTTATTTGTGGTGTTTGAACTATTCAAACACTTCCCTATTACAAAAGGGGTGGGTCAAGTTGAATACACACCATAGCTTTTTTGCTATAATTTTCAAATGAAAATAAAATATTCTGATTGTATTTGTTGATAATAGGGATCATAGATCAATAATTCAATCTGATATTCACAAATTGTGAAGCAAAGTAATGCTATGGTAGGACAAAGACATGAG